ACGGCCATGTCCTGACTGTGGCCAGCGGACCACGCCAGACGAGACTAGAGTAAAACAAGTTTTCGTCGTCAAACGTCATTGCCATCTTCGTTCTTTTGTTGTCATCATGTGCTTCAGGCTACACCCTTCTTCTGACGCTGACACCACTGTTGCTTCTTCTTCCTCTACAGCCCACTCACTTGGAATGATCCATACTCAGTCGGCTACGCTGGCTGTACGATAACGTTACAAGTACACGACGAGTACAACTACAATACATTACAGCCCATTTTATTTACTGATAGGTATGCAGCATTTACGGGTGTCGCAAGTTGCACCATACATGGACGCACCTAGGCCGAAAAGTTGTACGTAAAACTAGCCGAACAATCTGGAATACCTTGTTGTTGAGCTTAACGCAGTAGGGATGTCGTGTATACATATCGTACTATTATTTACTAGCCTTGTGTAAACTACTGGCAATCTGCACTATACGAAGTGATCACAGGCGGCGACAGGTAACCACCGGCGCAAAGTCGGCCGTGAAGTCAAAAGCAGTCAGTCAGTCAGTCAGCATGCAGTCTATTTGTTACTTGAGCTGCTGCTATATATAATGGTACGGAACTATAGTCCTGCGGCTCCCTGGCCAGTAGTAACTTCTGTCCAGAAGCACAGACCGTCGACGGAAGGAGAACGCGCGAAGCGGAGGGAACCGCGGCTACGAGCTGAAAAAGCAGCTTACTCCCTCGTGAGTAGGTATAGCGCGCTCAGCTGCTCACAGGCTCAATCACTTGTAACCATTCTATGCTGGCGCAACAGCTCGGGCAAGACTAACTAAGAAACAACAACGGCAACGAGAAAATCAATTAGTGATATGTACCATCGTGGCAAAGCAGGTCGAAAGGGGTTGTCGGCCTGGCCGGCCTTTTCATATCTCCACAATATTACGCACTAGAAGTATAAGGACGATATGTGCAGATGATTACAGTAAGAGGCTGTTGTTATCAAAGAGGATTGACAATGGTAAATTACAGTTGAGTAGACGCTGAACCGAACGGATTTGTCCTTTTTGCCTCGAAGCCAGAACTACTCTTAGTTAGGCGAAAATGTTACAGCTCGAAAAAGAAAAGAAAGAGAAACGGTACCAGATGCTTGGCAGGAATTTTGCGCTGCATATGAGACAGGTGGCCATTTGTATCCGGTAACCCGTATATCACCAGATGTAAACGTTAGCGTAGTTAGTTAAAAAACAAAAAGGGTATAAAAATCAGGTCATTTCAGTCAAGAAACGGACACAAACATCAAAGCATATGAAATAAGTAATATATGTGTCACGACAAGTGGTTGAACATGATATCAAAATAATTCAATCGTACGGTAGGTTCTCGCAGAGCTACATCCAGATATTCAAATACTTCCAGCAAAAATAATTCTATAAATTACATCCCGTTTGTGTCTGTGCGATAGCAAATAGTGAACGAAAGATTATTTCTTTGATCAGGCCTTTTTAAGGTCCAGTAGTGTATCTGCCCTGATTTTAGCGATTGATTGATTTTTTCAAAGAGGTAGTTTCTCCTTCTCCATACTGCTTCTTAGAAATTGGAAGGGTACACTAATATATCAGGTTCACAGGAACGTTTCTATGGGAGAGCAGTGTAGCATGACGGAACAATGACAATCAGATAGATTTTTAATTTTAGTTAGGTTGTATACAATGTTAACGAGTCGGATTGGTCAAAGTAACACCATATATATGGTCAGTAAACGGATTCATCAATAAAACTATTGACGTTTTACGAATATATAAAAAAAAAAGTGCTCACGAGACAGCAAATGAGCAATCGGCTATATATACATTAACAGCGCTCATGTGAAAGTTCGACAGGTTATTCCATTATATTTACAATCAAACATTATCTTTAATTAATGTATCCTTTCCTTAAACTTATAGATATATACTAGGCTATTATAGGAAATCTGTCTAACTTAGAATTTGCGACAGCTTTTCTCCCTAAAAAGTAAATAACAAACAAATCCCGCTCTAAGTAATAAATGGAACAGGCACCATGACCAAGGATTTTAAGCGAGCGCAGTTAACCACTAACGAAATTCTGATAAAAAAAATATACTTTTTTTATATATATACATCTTTTTTTACTGAATGACCTTGATAGTGCTTTGTGAATCGCAGCTGTTATATATATATATATATATATATATATATATCTGGGCTAGCTTCTAAATTTTGCGTCCAGCTTCTATCATATTATCGTCTGTCAAGCTGAGATATTGATTTTGAAAAAAATCTTCGCAGTTTAATCATCCACAGTCAATTAGGAAGTACTTAGGAACCGTTAATAATTAACACTTCATAAGGGCAACCATGTAATTAACTGAATTTCAAACATAAAAGATGCAATGATTTCATATAACAGAAGTAATAACATATGTACGCGCAGATGTTACTTAGAGCACTCGACTTCGCCTAGGCAAAGATGTGTCGCTTCTACTAGCGTTAATTGAATACGATACTTTGTTGCCCCCTGTGAAGTGCCCTATTCCTGCTGCCTGTATCCTTCGATCGTGCTAAATACAACGTGCTTTCTGCCAAGCTCATCAGCATCTTGGGACTTGCTGTTGATCACCGCCACATACGAGTAGAAAATCTCCAGTATCTAAGTGTCCGTTCGCTGCCTTTCGATGCCATCCCTTGGACCTGCTTTTTGGTCTGAGGTATCAGACGAGGTTTTGGTGATGGCACGAAGGTGATTGTCCGGCGGCCGTGAGTCATTCAGTCGGCTCCTTCATATTCACTACAGATTATAGAACTCACTGTTTGCCGAGTTACTCTGTCTGCCCCTTCGGCCCTGAGACCCTCCGCCTGTTTCCTAATTGACCGTACCATCGATTGGTCGATGCCTGTAGTCATCTTAACACATTAGCGATCGGTTCAATATTCCATGTTTTTTTCCCCATCGTCTGCTCGCTCACACTGCATATCGGTGTAAATAGCAGTAAGGGGGCAAAAAGGAAACGCCTTTTGCTCTCGGGAATGGCACGGGAAACCGTAGACACGCTAACGCACATGTTCACTCATTGAGAGATTCGCCTAGTTCAACTGCGCTTATACCGAAAGGGCAGATGTCCCGATGATGAGCTCGTTCGCTCACTCACTCATTCACTCACTCGCTTGCTCCCCATCGAGTTTTTTGTGCAAGACGCTTCTACATTCGTCATAATAGTTTGATGGATCTGATGTGTGGTGGGCTACGGATGATAGAAGTGATTTCCAGAGGCAAGGAACATCGAACACACTTGTTGGTAAGAACTGTCAGCTCATTACGGTGCTTGGGTGTACATGTTGGGGTTTGATGCCCAGGTCTTTGATTGAAAAACGGTTCTAACAAACACATCATGTACTGTCATCGGAAATCGGATATTACAGATATCGATAGAATTAAAATGACGTACTTCCTATTGTGCTGATAGCGTCGAATTGACAGACACTGAGATTAGAGAGCTGTGCAAAGACGCGTGTCCTTTTTCTCAAGTGAAGCTGATGCTAAATGAGTCATGAGAGTTTTCATTTCTTTCATGTTTCGATTTGGCGTTTATGTAGAAGTTGTATGGTACGCGGCCAATATGTGGGAATCGGAAGCGAAACATAGCTTCTGCACAAAAATTGTCTATTGCGACCTTTTTCTTCAATCGCAAGTACCGCAAAGAGGTGCGACCCTTTACGCAACCTAGATTTCCATACCACGGCAACATGATTCGATTTATACTTGACTCGTATCGTCGAAGTAGGTTGCAGCCACAGATTAGCTCCCTATGTATCAGGATTTGACGTCACTTTAATCGACGGTGTCCTGAATTTGTTAACGGCTAAAATAAAAATCGTTTCTAGATTCTCTTTTAGTACAAACTTATAGAAATCACGACACGCAACCCGTACGCTTGTACACATCGCATAGCAATCTTAAATCATTCACACTGTATTTATTTCCTACGGGTTAATTTCCTGGGCAAATCTAAGATTTTTTTCAAACGGCCGTCGTTTGAGATGCAGCACGACGCTCGACACGAAAAATGTCATAATTTTTTACCGTTAATTACTATCACCATCGCAACGCTAGCAACTTCTTTTCGATCTCAAATTCAAGCAGCGAACGAAAAAGATCACCCAAATGGAAACATCAAAATTCATCAAATGGAACTATTTATTAAAGTAAAAAATATCGAGGATTAAAAACAAATAAAACAAAATCATCACCGCTACATTATGCAATGTGAACTATTAACAACGAGCAAACAGATTAGATAGATGTCAGCCATATTTGAAATTCATTTGAAAAAAAAACCCAACATTCAGACGCGCCCATCCCTAAAAAAATGTCATATTTGTGTATAAAATAGAAACTTAAGTTTGATTTGAATGTAGAGAAACCTTTTCAATATAAAAATGAACAAATCTCTTATGCATGAGAGTGCTCAAGAGTGCGTCGATACGTAGAGAGTTTTATCATCATTACGCAATGAAATTTCCTTGGAAAACATATCGGTCGCGTACTTGAACCTCTTCGACCCGTCAAACTTAGCCCATTTTTAGAGTTTGGCTTATCGAATCGGGGGGTGTTCTCATCAAAAAGCCAATGTCAAATTTAGCATCGGTCTATATCCGAATCTTGTAAACTAACAACTTTTTGCTCAGTGACTCAAATTAAGTATTTATAAATTTACCCCCATCGTCACACGTGCATATTAGTTTTTAACAGAAAACGCCACAAAAAATGGTTTTCGCTTCGCAATTTCATTTCACTGAATGGAGGGTTCTAAGCGTGACGTCTCGGTACTACTAGCCAATGAAGTCCTTAAACCTGGGACCTCATGTTTTTTTTCGATACAACTTAATTTTGGGATGAAGCTTTGAATTAGATAAATCTCCCATTAATCAGTACGGTTGTTTTCTAGTGTCATTGCAATAGCGCAATGGGTAGGAGGTCGGTTCGACGAAAACTTACCTCTCTCCCGGCGGTCCAGGTACTCGGCCGCCTCCAATAACCATTGGATGCTCAAGCTCATGGCGTATTCCGTACCCGTCGGGTTGAGATAGTTTTCCGGCACTTCCCAGCGTTGTCGCAGGAAATTGTAACAGAAAAAATTTACTATGCACTGGAATAGTCCGTTGCACCGCACTGTGTGATTTTCACTGCAAATCCGTGATTTTTTCCCCCAAAATCAAATCCTTCGGTTCACATACAAAATTTTTTTTGTTTTTGTTTTTTCTTTATGAAAAACAATTCATAGAAAGTAAGCGTCCGCTGAATATGTATGCTATTTTGCAGAAATGCTGCCGATCCTGATAGGCTGAAAGGGAGAGACACTCGACGTTTTCAAGGCTTCATGCAGGCACGACGCTTCTAACAAACTTACGCAATAACTCCCACGAAATTATAGATTAACTTGGTGGACAACACGAACCAATCACGAATCACAACACACTCTTATTTTCTCACGGCGAAGGAACTCTGTAGTTGCTCTTGAGGTGCCGAGGGAGGGCTCTTAAGATTTGAGGGATGTAGAGGCTCTTTCTCGTTTTCTGTGCGAGATCCTAACACTTATCAACACCCAATCGCTGTGGGCCGCAGATATTATCGCTTTCAATCGATTCTATGTTAAACTTTTATTCCGATTATTCGGGCTCTTCTGTACAACGATAGTAAGTTGTCGCGATCATGATCATCTGTCTAACAAAAAGTAGATCAGCTACCAGCAGATGTACGATCGTGACGCTGCACAGACGCACGTCCAAATCACTTAATCGACGTCCTGACGGATAAAATCCCAAAGGTCGCGGAAAAAATGCGGTATTGTGCGTTCTGCAGCAGCGGCTACCGCAACCGTCGTAGATTACAGTGGACGCCGCGATGGCGTCGTCGTAGAAGCTGCTCTTAATTAATAACGTTGCCGCAGACCTGTTACGCAAGATTTTTTCACGTCCGCAACGCCGTTGTGGCCGAAATGCTAGAAGCGAGATACTGCTGGTACCATTCGTAGCCGTAGCAATAATTTACTTGACACGATCCGCTCTGCTCGCGGCGCTCGATAACGCTGCTATAGTAAAAGTAGCACTTGTAATAAAATTAGTAAGTGATTTGATTGATGATCAAGGATTTTACAGTTCAACCCAATAGACTCGTGGCTGATTTTCATGCCTCTTTTCACTGGTGTGCTAGCTTACCAATCACCACCATCAGCCTCAGTGGCAACAGGTAACACAGCAGGGAGATGCGGAACGACAATTCTGTTTCGAAAAATGCGATCTTACGAAACGATAATTCTCTTTCGTCGACCGGATGCTGTTACCATTGTCGCAAGCTACTTAATACCTCAATATGTGTTGTCGGTCCGGGCGTTGTAAATTCGTCGTCGATGTTTCTTTGTATCGGGGTGTTTGTCTCTCACAGTCGGCGGGTGTTTTTTTTATGTGGTAGTTACGTTTGCTGCTGCTGCTGCTGCTGCTGCTGCTGCGGCTGCTGCTGCGGCGGCGGCGGCGGTGGCCTCCTTGCTGACATTTGCTGTTGTTGTTTCACTTGCTTGGGCCGTCCGTTAACTTGTCTGTCATTGATTGCTTTCGGAACTACGGAGTATCCCTATTCTATTTTTCACAGCGCTGGTTATTTTTGCTGCTACTGCTGCTGCTGTACATTTGTTCGACTCGGTGGTTGCTGAGTCGGAGCGACTGCCCCGCAGTGGCAATCGTTTTCGAAGCAATTTTCGTGCTATTTTGCAGACTAGCAGCTGACAAGAACGAACAGTGTAGAGTATATCGGCCGCATTCTCCGAGACGTTGCCACTGAACACGTGTGTGGTGACGGCCGTACTAGTCTTCCATTGAATAGGTGACTTTCATTCCTGCGGTATCAGGCGATACGGCTGGCCGGCAAACTTACGGTAGGTGTTCGATTTACATAGTACACCGTGTTCGATCGCCGTTGCCAGCAACGTCACCACGATTACTGACGTTCGCTGACCACTGCTGCTGCCGAGATTATTGGCAAGTGGCAGTACTATCGCGGGGGCAGCGGCTACGTGTTGCCGAGTGTGGAGTGACTTTGCCTGCTAGAGCTAAGGCTGACAGCGGCCTTAAGGACTGTGCTCTGGTGGCAAGTGATCGCTGCTTTACTCGCTGTCGCGAGATGACGCTTGCTTACTTGCCTACCAGTTGCCGTCGCTGATGCTTGTCTCGCCTCAACGCGCACCACACTCACTTCGATAGCGGCCGATGCAGAGCGATGCAACAACGATATAGCCGGAGATGAACAAAAAGACACGGATAATCTCCTTGCTGACGCTGTTGCGTGGCTATTAGTGGCTAATTCTTGCGAGCTACTGCCAGCTCATTTGGAACTTTATGCTACTTTAAGTTACTCGTTCACTATTGCACTGAGCCCCGCTGACTGGCTGTCGCCAGAACAACTGACTTCGATTTCGCCGAACCGTCGTATCATCCAAAAGCAATTAGAGGTGATGACCGATCTTTTATTTCTCTAAGTCCAAATTTTCGTTTTACCACTAGTTGTCGATTTCAATGTGTAGCAGTTGTACACGTCCTCGTTGTAATCCTCGTTGCTGTGCAATACTTGCTAAGGTCGATAGATGGTAAGCTTGTTTGTTTGTTTGTTTGTTGTTGCTGTTGTATTGTTGTTGCTGTTGTGTTGTTGTTGCTGTTGTTGTGCTGTTGTTGTGTTGTTGTTGTTGTTGTTGTTTCACGTTTTCGAATTTTTCCTCCTACTCTAGCTTCCTCCTTCACTTTCCCAAATTTTAAAGCAGATCCTCTTTTTTACACACTTTCACATTGGCTCGTTCTTGGTCACTCTCTCACTCTCTCTAGCGGTCGCTCACTCTCTCTCTCTCTCTCTCTCCCTATCTCCCCCTCTCTCTCGCTCGTTTTCTCTTTCACTCGCCGATTTTTAACACCGCACTATTATCATTAACAAATCAATTAACACCAATCGGCACAATTGGTAATTCCTTGTCGCTGCTGTCGTATTTAGTTAGTAGTTACCGTCGCCAAGCTGTATATTGCTTCGCCATCGTTCTATACGTTGCACCCTCTTGCCTTGCCACTATTTCCTCTTTATAGTTCAGAAAACTTACTCCGTTGCGCTGTTGCCGATCTTAGTATTTCTCTACGAATAGATCGCGCTGTTGGTTGCGACTGATCTTCGCGCTTCGTGTTGTTGTTGTTGTTGTTGTTGTTGTTGTTGTTGTTGCTGTTGCTATTACCGTTATTGTAACTGTAGTCGCAGTCTGCTGTAATTCTCGTTATTTTGTGGTCTTACTATTCACTCCTCTTCGCTATTGTTACTATTCCGCCTCAGCCGGCCACTTTCCGACTGACTAACTGACTGACAAAACTGGGCATCCACAAACGCTAGATAGACGTTGAAACAGGCCGACAGTCTTGCCTTCCGATGCCCGAAAGCTAGCTACATAGAGAGTACAGACGTCGTAATAGTAACACTAGTAATAGTCGTCGTAGTGAAGCAGCAACTCCTGCTGTTCTTACTCACACACGACTGTGCAATACGTGCTCTCCACTCGCCTCGGCGAGTGCACAGCGCGCTTTGCCGCTCTGACAGCCCAGGAGCCGCGTGCCACAACGTTGGGAAAGGGCGGACACGTCACCCTACCCTTTCCTGCGCGCGCAGCTGAAAGCGCGAGGTGGTGGTCAGACGCTCGGCTCCCAACGCGTACCACGAGCGAGCGAGCGAGCGAGCGGGCGAACCCTCGCACTTACACCCACCGTCACCAACAACGTCGACACAATCAGCGGTGCTGTTTCGGCAGACGACAGCGTTGTGCGATACAGCCAGGTAACCTAGTTGTGCGCCGTTGTCGGAGCGCCAGCAGAGGAGAGGCCACGCAAGGCAAGGCAAGCTCGCGTAACCGCTAGCATAGCGCACAGTTATACGAGCGCGCGCGCGCGCGCGCACACAACACCCGCGCCCGTCGTTACACGGCCGCTGCCGCCGTCGGCGCTGCTACTGCCGCCGCCGCAATACACAGACAACAGCAGCAGAAAAGGAAGGAGCACAGAGCGCCGAGTAACGCGCTGTCATTCTTCGCTCAGCGCCGCCTGCTTCCTTGATGCCAGTCGGCCAGGCTGGCAACGAGCGAGTCTTCATTCCTGCTTTGTCAGTTGCTAACCATGGCGCCACACGCCGCTTTGTTTTGGGTGCTGCTTCTCACCACGTGCGCCCTTTCCTACATTTGGGCAATGAAAAGAGAAAGGGGGTAGTGGGCAAAACGGTGGCAGCGTGCTGCAGCAACGGTGAGATGGTGGTTCTCGCGTTAGTGCTGGCGGAAGACGATTGTTGGGAAAATGAAGTCTACCAAAGCTTCATGAGAACACAGCGAAGTCCCCAGCTAAGGAGCGCCCTCCTTGCCACAGGTCGGGTAGCAAGACAAGCAGGCAAACAAGCAACCAACCAAAGCAAAACAGAGTTTTCCTTAGACGCAGATAAGCAGTCGAACGACCCTTCTTTCTGCCCTTTCCTGCCACCATCAGCATCAGCATGGTTACTAGCACGGAGGCCACCAGTGGCACTGACATCCGTCTTCGAAGTTCCCCTTTTCCCTATTCCTCCCATCCCTCAGCTCCTCTTGCGTCTCCAAGTTCTCCTTCTGATTTTTTGGGGGCCGCTGCCACCTTCCTCCATAAGCCACTGCCATTCCTATATCCGCTGTGACTGCCTTTAACCATTTCTGTCTACAGCGCATGTGCCATCATCTATCGTGGCGAGCCTCCCTGCTTGCAGCAACATACAGTACGCACGTGACACGCCTGAGTTCAGAATTGAAATATATGCGTACACGAGTAGCTAGCGTTTCGCATACTAAGGTCCAAACGATAGCGAGTGTCGCTAAAAAAACAACGAAATATTCTATAGGAACAATTCTTGCATTGACGTATACTAATAATGATAGTAACTCGCCCGCTTGGTAATGCACAGGCGTTTCTCACCCTTATCGCCTAGAAGATTAGTTATATTATAAACCTAGTACGCGACATATGCGTAGAGAGGTATAGTTCCTTAATTATATTTCTCATATGTACATTTGTACGGAGATTAGCACATTCTCAGGCTGTAGGTAACAATGTAATGTACATATGTAACTATTCGCAGTACGTTAGAATATCGTGCTTCTAGACACCGACGAACGCGACTCCTGATCCTTTCTATCGCTAATTTTTCATTCTATCTCTCTTCTTCTCTTTTTCCTGGCTCATCATATCCCCCGCCAGCTTTACGCATCACCGTTTTTCGATGGCGGAGGGACTTATCGATCCTGTTGCTGATTCTGTTATCTATGCTATTAGTGCCGATGACGTTGCCGGTGGCATCAGCTGTCAAGCCATCGATGGTTTTTCACACAAATGTCGTGCTTTCCTTGGGTTGTCCTCGCTTCCCAACAGTCCGGCTCCAAATGGACGAGCAGACGATTTATGAAGAAAAGCAAGGGGCACGGGACGGGGCAAGGAAAAGACTTTCTGTGTGGCGGTATACGCGCTAAAGCGCACTGCGCACGACATGGCCTGCAGCACACTCGCTTGCAAGAGCCACACGTCAGCAGTGGTGAAAACGGCGGTCGTGATGGTGGCGGCGATGCTGACGATGTGACAGAGGCCATTGCGCCGGCAGCAATAGTATCTTCTTCAGTGTCTTCCCTACGAAATGCGCCACGTGCGCTTCGCCTCGGTGCATAACGAAATGTTTGTTTGTTAGGATTCACTAGCGTTTGTCGGCCGGCAAAATGACAGATGGATGCGACGGATTCAATGGCTTATGGTCAAAGTCCGATGCACGCAGGATATAGGACTTATCGTCTCTTCCATATTATTAATCGAACAAATGTTCCTGAGCAGGTCCTTGTTGCAAATAATCACGTTAACAAAAGAAGCGAGTGAAGCATCAAATTATGCCTCAAATCGGAGCGTGAAGTGCTCTATAGCAAATGGCAGTTGTTGGTTTGAGATTAACACATGACATATAATGAACACAGAATAATGCTCGTAATAAGTAATTATCGTATACTACACGAGGTGCTGTTGAGTCGTATGTGCACCTTACGCTACATGGATGCATTAAATAGAACTTGAATCTATTTTTTTTATTCAGTTTAGTTACAGTTTTAATAATTCTAAGACCTTCACTTGACGAAGTACGCAGAGTAGGCACTTCTAAAAGTTGCTTTACAGAGTGAAGTAAGAGCGGTGTAAAGCAGAAAGGCTTAATTCTGGAGTACCTCCATATGCAAAGACACGGAATCCTTCCGGATGAAACAGTCTGGCACGGTTTGCTGTCTCAGAAACTACAACAAAGCGCAGAGACTTGTCAGGGTAAAAACATGAGTCAATGCTCTCGATTTTATCTGTAACAAAGTTGAGCTTCTGCGCACCAAAACTCTTTATACGTGAGTTCATTGTCCCGTTAGATCTTTCTGTTGATCCAAGAGGAGTCATGATTCACTTGACAATAGATGTACTGCATACGATCGCTTTCTATGGAATTGTCTCCATCAACGGGGTCGCGCATTCCATGTTAACATATGCATACACGCTAGGATATACATAGAATCGGAATGTATGGTCACTTGGCAGCAAATGATTTGCACGTAAATTTCATAAACATTATGTAGTATAAACCGTTTCTACATCAGAGTCGTAATTTAACTGAAGTTTTTATAGTAAGTTTCAAGTAACTTTTGTTGACAGCCTGTTACTCGTGTAGATATCTAGACATTTCATTGTTTCTTTGATTCTAGCCAGGGCAAAAGTAGCGGGAATATTTCAAGCGGAGTCATTTTTCTAGGAAGCATCTCTCGGCGGGAACTTCTCTCGTTGCTAAAAAATGTACCCACTTTTCATACGACGTTAGAGTCGTGATGATAAAATATTTCAAAACCAGTCTTTTTATTTGAATTACGTTCGACATACTGTTAACTTTTGAAGTTGAAGCCTTCAATGGGTTTAGCAAATCAATACATACGGAATTTCCACCTGTATATATTTTGAACAACTGATAACGAAGAATAAGTCAAAACCATCATTTATGCTAGAATAAAACTGGGACCAGGTCATCGATAAAAAGCATACGTAATAATTAATACCTTGTTATACCTACTATTTTACGGAATACACATATATAAATATCTATATATATATATCAACACATTGGATGTACTTATAAGTTCGACGGTATTATACTTCGGCAAATATACAGACGGCAAAATAAATACTTCGATAGCCGGGTAATCCAGGTTAACGTGAGAGCGCCTTTAAGTTTGAAATGATAGGTAGTGCTCTTTGTATCGCGAGACCCAGCTGTCCAAGTCAACCCGCTGGTAAATGATGAACGACCTCCATGAGTGATAAGATTAGTGTTCAAAAGGGCACACTTTCAAAATATATGGTGAAGCCCTTTTTCTTTAAAATAGCCTAACATCCGTTATAGGTGCATATTTATGCACGCAGTGCATGATCAGGCTAGCCTTTTCTAGACGTCTGTGAGTTAATGAACATGTCATCGAATTTAGAACGCAATGTCATCAACAATAGCGAAATGGTACTTACCCGTATTGGACGCTGGCAGCCTGAAATTAAGAACAGCGCTCGCCCGCCCTGCTCAGATGCTGATACTTTGCGTCTACTGCCAAATTATGCGTTATGTATAGATGCGCCTTGCGCGGGCTTATTAGAAAGAGTGGAACAGAAACGACAAATACGTCAAGTTGAAGGAATGGACCACCACTTAAGTTAAATGAACGACCGGTGTAAATCACGTACGAAGCAACTGATCTGGTGCTTCGCGTAGGAGAATAAGTCATTCTTAAATTAACCCAAAAAAGGATTGAAAAGATATAAAAAGTGCGCTATAAAAACAAAACAAAAAGGTAAGAAAAATTATAGAAATGCTACAGTAAAATGTTTCCTTATAGACGCGATGTCGTTAATTTGAAAACGCAAAGCAATCGTCAGCGCGGCCCTTGTGATGTAGATTCACACATGAAGGAACTTACAAAATGTTTCAAGTAGGAGCATGGCCTTAAGTAATGCGGCAACTCCTTCCGTACCCGCGGTAGCGAAGGAGGCAACGTATCTCCATTGTAAAGCCACATATATGTGTGGCAGTCTAGGTTCGAATCGGGGCGTAAAACAGTTTTTAAGGACAGCCAAAGGTGAATAGTTTGCATGTAAAATTGATACTTTACTTTTCCTATCTCTTTGAGCGCGTCCTTATGTTACCTTTTAACACAAGATGTGTTTCATTTTCGCGAAAAAATTTTGTCATTGAAAACGTTGACAACCGGCATAAGGGCACGCTCACTTACAACGTTATAATAATGTATAGAGAAATAAACGAAGCTCCACATGGATAATCATTGACGGAGGGAACAAAAGTTAGGCTGAAGGTAACACGTACTAATAGTTCTGAAAATGTGTAAAAAGAAATCTTAGAATGCAAAATTGTACAGTAACGCAATTTAGTTAAAAATAGATTGATCCAAAATTGTACATAATAACTTACAATGTTGTCTAGATGTTAATTTT